TCAACAGCTGTGTGCAATCCGTTGGCAGACAGCTCTCCTAATGATCAGCTGCAATATCCATTCCACTCAATTTATTGTTAAACAATACCAGCAACACATCATCACAGCATCACGTTGGCTGCATTATTCCAACTTCCCCTCTCAAGCTGGATTGTGTTTCAATCACTCCAAGCTTGTCTCTTAGAAACAGAAATCTAGAGTGAGCAAGAGGAATTGTTAGCAAATATGTCGTCTGATCAGATGATGGTATATAATTAATCTGTAATTCTCCTTTCAGAACTTTATCACGAACAAAGTGAACATCAAGTTCAATATGTTTGGTACGTGCGTGATACACCGGGTTAGAGGCTAGAGCACTAGCACTTAGGTTGTCACACCAAATTATAGGGACTGCCTTCTGTGAAACTTTCAATTCCAGCATTAACTATTGGATCCACGTAATTTCAGATGCACTGTGGGTGAGTGCACGATATTCAGCTTCCAAGCTTGATCTCGCAACAACTTGCTGTTTCTTTGAGCACCAGGACACCAAACTATCTCCCAAATATACACAATACCCTGCTGTGGACCTTATATCGTCTGGACAAGATGCCCAGTCTGAATCTGCGAATGTGTTTATGTCAAGGTTGTCATTTTTGTAGATAGCAAGGCCATGATTTAATGTTCCTTTAAGATATCTGAATATCCTCTTTAATGTTTTCCAGTGTGCATCTGTAGGAGACTAAATGTATTGGCTCATTCTGTTGACAGAGAAGGTGATATCAGGTCTGGTGTGGGTTAGGTATTGGAGCCCACCGATTGCACTTCTGTACAGGGTTGGATTCTCCATGATTGGTCCATCATTCTTTGACATTAGCTTACCAACTGCCATTGGAGTTGAGCTTGGTTTAAGGTGTTCATAGCTAAATTTCCTGAGCAGATCTTTGGGTGTACTTTGTTTGGGTTAAATAGAGTCCAGCTACATCTCTGTTAACCTCCATTCCCAAGAATTTACTGAGCTTTCCTAGATCCTTCAGAGCAAAGTACGCATTTAACTTATCGATGATATTTTGTAGCTTTTGATTGTTGTTTCCTGTCAAGATTATATCATCCACATATATCAGCATATAAACTATATCTTCACTATCAACCAGGTAGAAGAGTGAGTTATCAGCCTTAGACTGATTGAAGTCCCACGTTGACAGGGTGCTTTTCAAGTTCTCATGCCACGCCCTTGGAGCTTGCTTCAGACCATATAGTGCCTTTTCTAACTTGCACACAAAATTTGGAGTTTTCTTATCCACAAAACCTTGTGGTTGATGCATATAAACTGTCTCATTCAGTTTTCCATTCAGAAAGGCATTGTTAACATCTATCTGTCTGATATCCCAGTCTCTAGAGACAGCAAGAGTTAGAATGATTTTTAAGGTAGATGCTTTAAGGACTGGACTGAAAGTTTCACCATAATCCATTCCAGTAGTTTGAAGAAACCCCTTGGCTACCAGTCTGGCTTTGTGTCTCTGTACTTTCCCTTCAGTGTCATACGGAAACTGAATTTATGATTTTGGTAAGGTCTAAGACAAGGGTAGCAGGCACAACCAAAGGTCTAAAGGGATTTGTAATCAAAATTTCTTGCATATAGTACTTGAAATGGTGACTTGTGGTTGAGTACTGGAGTTGGTAATCTGTTGATTAGATAGGTGGCTGATTTGAATGATTCTCACCAATAATTTAAAGGCATTTGTGCTTGAGTCAACAGAGTTAGCCCTGTTTCTGTAATGTGTCTATGTTTTCTCTCGGCTCTACCATTTTGTACTGAGGTGTAAGGGCAGGTATGTCTAAGTTCAATTCTACAATATGATGCAATCCTATTGAAGTTTCTAAACTCTCCTCCCCAGTCAGACTGCAAGGCCTTGATCCTTTTTTCAAACTTGTTTTCTA